TGATTTTTTCTTTAAATTTTTTATTTTTGTCTGAAATGTTGCTAAATATAGCAAGAAAGTCACTGAATTGGCAACAGTGGGGTGAATATTGTTAACTGCAAATGTGTAGACCTGACCTGGTGGTCCGATAAGATGGGCTTCAGATGTAACTATCGGCTAATCACGAGCCCCCAAAATTAAGGATATTGGCGCCCAGAAATCAACTGGCCAAATCAGTTGGCCAATAAATGTGTCCTATATTATACATGTAAATAATGTAAACAGTACCGCCAGAGATGCAATAAGTTTATAGCAGGTGTGTGAATGATCTAATGATCGGACTGCTGATTACAGCCAGTCCACATTGTTAGCAGAGCTTGAGGGCCCAAAAACAAAAATTTCGCTTAGGGCCCCATGGAGGCTTAGGGCCTCCATGGGGCTTAGGGCCCTCCATGGGCCCTCCATGGTGTCTGTGTGTGTGTGTGTGTGTGTGTGTGTGTGTGTGTGTTCTTAAGTTTGCTGTGAGCAACTTTGTACAATTATCCAGAGGTGGAAGCTGGTAGGGGTTCTCTGCCATTTTTGTTATAACCTGTTTTCTCCTGTTTTTGGTTAGTAAGGGAGTTTAGGTTTTGTATTTTCCTTTAGTTCTCCTTTAGCAAGTGGTTGTTTTATTTTATAGTTATAAGGGGGTGTTTTGTTTATTATTTTGGCCTTGGAGACCCTGAAGTCTTAAGCTCCCCTGTGTTTTCTTTTCTCCTGTAGTAGTTGTTTTTATCTGGATTGTAAAATGAATTATACTTGTTACTCAACTGTTCGGATTACTTTTTAGTTTTATGTTAAAGCCCAGTGCCAGGATTTACTTTAGAGATTTTAGGGTGGGGTTGTAACAACATGTTTAAAGTAATGTTGCTTGCAAAGTTGTATGTTTTTTTTTCTTCTAATTATTAGTTTTATAAATGCATATAGCATGCTTATGAAGAGGTGCTTTTCTGTATTTTTATTGTAGGATCCATTTGGCAAGCCTACTGCTGTTGTCTTTTCTGGTGTCAAATTTTATTTGTAATTTTCAATTTATGGGAATTTTTTTTTTTTTTTGTTTTTTTTTTTTTAAGAAAAGCTGTTTGAATTTATTTTTTTTATTAACACATCTCACAAGTTTCTTTATTTTGTTTATACCAAATCAAACCAAAATTAATGCTGTTCCACCTGAGGACAGTCGGGAAATAAAATCCACCAATGTTTTT